CAAAAGGAAAAAAAAAAAAAAAAAAAGATGGGACTGGAACAACGCAGGTTTCTGGAATGACGGTGGTGACTGTGTCACAGGCAGCAACTGTTCGATTAGCAGCATGTGCCCGTTTTTACCCGCTAACCTTAACAAAGACATCATAGATACTGTAGATCTAGAGAAATTATGGAGAAAAGAACATTCCTGGGGGCCTCTGGCCTAAATTCAGCCTCAGCTGGAGAAAGATTTCACAGGAGGTCACATCCAACATCTGGCATCTCCAGGAGCCCAGCTCAGAAAGAGAAAGACTCTAAAGGCGGTCTGGTCAGAGAACCATTAATCCATCATTTTGAAGTGGTTTAGCACTCAGCTGATGATATGAAATGCTGCCAAATTGGAGAGAGAGGGAAAAAAAAGAACAAATTAACTTGTTAAAATCCTTCCCCAAGTGAGAAACACACTTCCATTTCAGAAGGTCTTTTAGTCCGCTAATGCGTGTACAGTGTGTACGGACATGTCAGGCCAGCGGCCACAAGAGAGAGACACACGATTAATCCAGCAGTCTGTCCTTCAGAGAATATATGAGAGAGACATAGATAAAGAGAGTTCGGTCTGTTCTGGTCCCATCCGTTCACTGCAGTCCCTTGATTCACAGACCGGGACGAGACAGTGGTTGGTGGGTACAGTTCTCTCCTCTCTTTTGCACTGGCAGCTGCTGTCTTTCACAAGGAGGGAGGCGTATAGAAAAGGGGCAAGCGAGGGGGAGGACGCCCCCCCGGTGAGTCTGCTTTACCGCTGGGTCTCGCTGCCAGGCAGGGTGATGTTGCCCAGGTGCAGGACGGGCAGAGGGTGGGCCTCCGTGTTGAACACCCAGTTCTCAAGAGGCAGCAGCTCATCGCTGGAGAAAAGTAGATAGAGATACCTACAAAAACACACACAAGGTTCATACATTTAAGCTGATACTGATACCAAACTGGGTCATGGATCTGATGTATCTAATTCAAACACATCCGGTGATGGGAAACTGCAGTGTTTCAATGACACCAGCAGGCGGCAGTAATGGCTGGCTGTCTTTCCACTCCAATTTATTTTGCAAATCCCACTTTGTTTAGCTGAGAGTCACTGTTTTTCACAGGTGTAGCCATATGTTGCATAGTTATGTTAACCATTACAGTAATAACTGAGCATTATCACATTGTTTTATATACAATAATAATGTGTATTAGCATAATGAACTGAAACGGTTTGTGTTACTATAGCAACAGAGCTTCAGCACATTGTATTTTAGTAAATGAAATTATTTTTACTTGAGCGTTTCAGCCAGGAAGAAGCTTTGCTGGACATCATCGTAGGTGGGGTTGGAGGAGTAGACATCTTTAACACCAGAGAATCCTCCGCTTACTCGGCAATATTTATCTATAGCCTGCAGAAAATACAGAGAAAGTCTGGAGTCAGTAAGAGCTTTCGTTCTTTTTTTTTGGAAAGAAATGAATACTTATTCAGCAAGGATGCATAAAATAAATTAAGCAGCACAACTGTTTTCAGCATTGATAATAATTAGAAATGCTTCTTGAGCACCAAATCAGCATTTTAGAATGATTTCTGAAGGATCATATTAAAGAAATAATATTTCACAATATTACTGTTTTTACTGTATTATGCTACTGTATATTTTTCAAAAACATTACAAAAAACATACCAACCCCCAAACCTTTGAACGGTAGTGTATATATAATATTACATATAATAATATTATATTTGTCCCCATGACAGCTAATACATTGTTTATTTTTTCTGAATTTTGATTTACTTTCACAACTGAATTGACTTTTTCTTGCAAATTTGTGAAAAATGGTGAAGGTGAAAGATGATAATCCCGGCACCTTAGATGAACTTTTGATGGTAAAGGTTGTTAAAAGATGCTTGAGTCATGACTATGTCTTTGATTTGAATTATGCACATATCTTACAACAGCGAGGGCCAGACTATTGTTCTTAAATTCGATTAAACCATGTAATATCTTGCAGTTTCTAATAAAGTTTCCATCCAACTGGTGAGTAACTCAGGCTAGCTCAGTTCCAGATGTACCATTTCCCGTGCTTTAGCTCAGAAAGATTGCCTATACAGTATGTGCTATATCAAGTGAAACCCCGTCCTAATCACCACTTTATGACTGCAAATCAAATCAATGCATAACTGTGTACTCGCAGTAATGACAAGCCAAAAATAGAATATATACGAAGCCGCTCTATTTTTCTGGCCCTGTTCTCCAGGAACCAATAATGCTCCATTAGTGCTGTTCCAGCCTCTGCAGGCAGGAGTGATGCAAGCCATCCGTGCCAGGAAAACATGGCATGATGTGCTCACCTACCTGGAGCAGATCTGCCTGAAACAGCTGCTACACTGAGGACTCACCTCACACGGTTATAACGCAACAGCAGCTGGCCTGATCCAGCCTCCTATTAAACCATTCAACAGAGATTCACTCAAGACTTGCAGCTTCATTTCCTCTATTTTCCATTTAGATTGCCTTTGGATCATCAAACATCTTTAAAAACACTGATTTAACCACACTGTTGAGTATAATCTTTATCAACTCTCAAAATGAATTTCCATGTTTCCCATACTACACCTTCTAATGTTATGATGCCTAAATTTACTTGTAGCATTTAAAACAACAGACTTTAGTTTTTTAGGGTTTTATTGTTTTTTATATAAACCATAGATGCCCAAACTTCAAAAATCAACTAAACCGACCATCTTACTTCACATGAGATATGGTAGAACTGGTGAGAAAATCTTAACTAATCCTGCAGATGAGAGTGGACACCAAACAAACAATACCATTTATCTACACAAAGAAGAGCGATAGGAACGCAAAGAGAAGAGACGGTGAGACCCTGAGATTCTGGAAAGAAAGAGGTGCACAGAAAGAGCTGGAGACAGAAAATGATAAAATTAGAAAAAAAGGAAAAAAGAGCTGATAGCAACGAAAGAACTTCTGTGACTGGGAACAAGTGAGCTTTATTCTGCTCTCTTTCTCTTTTTACAGAAATGGGAAGAGTGAAAATGAGGGAGGGAAGGAGAGAAAGAGCCCAGGCACCCAGCGGCTCATCAAAAGAAGCTGCAACTGCAGTGAAACAGTACTGTACCAGCAGAACAATGACACCCAATCAGAGACAAAACAATGACGCTCCATTCTCAAGAGCACTTTGAAACTGTTCTAGAAACACAAACACATTCCCTAAAAAACACAGCCCAGGTCTGGCCGGAGTAAGAGTGACATGAAAAGAAAGGGAAGGATAAATCTAAAAAATAGAGTGATAAACAGATACGGATAAAGAGGTACAGGACTACTACGAGCAGCAAAAAGATGCCACCGATAGAGCGACTGGGACTACAGATGGATATCAAAGTGATGAGATATGGGTTTAGATACTAAGAACATCCTGTGCCGTATACACCGTCTGACCTTATTCTGTCTCTGATATCTGGCTGAACTCTGATGGCTGGAGATACCAGCCCTGTGAGATGTGAGTTAAACTTCTGTTTGCGTTGCTCGTGCCCTAGCTTTGTGCTGGTGATCTTTGCAAAGGCAACAAAAAAGTTATATCATGACAACTCTCAGAGGGTTTGGCATGGTAATGTACATGTCAATGTTCATGTGTTTGGTCTTAGAATAGATCTGCTACGCTGCTGCTGCCGCCAATACATCCACAACATGCTGCTGTGAGCATGTAACAAGTACTACTGCTGCACATATAACACATATGAAATAACCCCAATATATAGCATACATGAATCACCGCGTAGCAGATCTGTACAGGTGGAGCTGGGGAAGGTGGAGGGTTAATGAAGCGTGCTGCAACTGCTACAGCAAGCACTAGCCAAGTATTTGAATGTTGAGCAGCAAGTTCACTGGCTGCTGATATAAAAAGAACCAATCAGCTGCACCATACGATGATGTCATTATGTCAGATTGAGTTAGACCTATTGGACTGCACCATCTAGAGCTTCATGACAGAATTTTGGATTTGTGTTCTCTTATTGAATGACAGTGATATTAAACATCTGGCTGACACAATAAGGTGATTATTTTTGTCATGTTATGGTTGTTAACCAATAAATGGCAGACTTTAAAAATGTAGTTTATTTTGTAAAAAAATAAATGAAAATAAAACATTGCAATCCAGTTATTATCCAGTACTTATTGAATACAGGCATTCTAATATTAGAAATGCAGAGTATGAAATATGGATGACCATTTATTTTAAAGGTTGACATGAGAAAGTCCCTAAAATAGAGATGAGACGTTTATTACAGGAAAGCGCAGTTTAAAAAAAATAGTCCTCTTAAAGAATTAAATCACTGTTATGATCTAGCGCTATTCCTTTCAATTGCCAGTAAACAAAAATTTCAGAAAGCAGTTTCCAAAATTAATATCCAATATTTAGTTGTAGGCACTCTTTTCCTAGGATATTTAATGAACTTAATATTTATACAATATTCAACATCCAGTAAAAATGTATTTTCCAGCTAAGCATCTTAATTTGAATCACTACAGTGATTTGTTACATATTACAGTAAAAAAGCCAAATTAATTCACTTGTCACTTGCATACATACACACACACACACACACACACACACACACTCACTCGCACACACACCACACACACACACACACACACACACACACACACTCACACTCATACACACACACACACACATCACACACACCACAAACACACACACACCCACACACACACACACACACACACACACACTCACACTCACACTCACGCTCACTCACACACTCACGCTCACTCACGCACTCACACTCACACACACTCACACACTCACACTCAC